GAATCATTGTGCATATTTTACTTCTTATGAATAGCTCAGCATGAGTGTGAGATGTGCTGTCCATTCTGTGTCAAGGCACACTCTTGTCAGGCGTGTCTCCAAGCATGTGTGAGTTTGTGCATGTGCTCTGAGAGCATACCTGGTAGCAGAGTGCCTCTTCTAAATGTATGTTAAATATACTGTCTGGTCTGTCCATAAGATAGGAATGGTGGCTCAGTCAGCATATTGCAGCCATTATATGCAAAGACCCCAAGCTGATCGTATGTCAGAGCTTAGCATCTTCTTTTTTTCCCCAGACCAGGACTGAATAAATTTGCTTCACTCTTCCTTCTGAGGATCTCAAGGAAATGGCCCTGTTATGATGTGAAGTAAATTGTCTCAGCAATAGGCCTTACGGTTTAAGGACATGGCAAGTGAATCTAGGTCAAAAGATAGAAGGAATCTTAGAGACAATTTTTTAAAAATTGTTTGCATCCTTTTGCAGTGAATCTATGTTTTGAATGAGAGAGGATAGAGGCAGCTTGCAATCTAATCACTTTAGCGTATGGGTTATATTCAGCCTATAAACTCCTCATTATTCATAAAGAAGTATGTGTTTAATGATTAAAACCCCAAGGGTTTAGTCGATAGAATAATCTGCATTTCTAAGGAAAATATAAGAAGTGGAACTAGAACACTGGCTCTTGGTTTTGTTGTGTGTGTGTGCGTGTGTGTGTTTTAAACCATATCCCCAATTTCCCTATCCGTTGGCTGTCTCAGTTGGATATGTGTATTGTGCAGTCTGGATCTAATAATGGCTAATTATGCAGTTGTTTATCAGCTCATTTGAAACATTTTGAAATTCAGTCTAGCTCAGCAAATTGCTTGTGCTTAAGGCATTTTCTACATTCTAGAAATTATAATATCCCCAGAAGGCGAAGAATTAATAATAAAAATCCTCTTTTGTAAAAGATTATCATTGCAGAGCAAATGGAGCACATCCTTTTCCTTCCCTGGTACATTTAATATTCTCATTGCCCCTCCCTCTCCTGCAGAAAGTTTGGTAAAAAAGACTGTGTAAGGATCACAGTTTTGTTAACCTGTTAGGAGATGCATTTACTAAACAAAGGCAGCAGGATGCCATTTTCACCGTCCATAATGCAGCCTAAATATATTCAGTATATTTAATGTTGGCAAAAAATTAATGTATGTATATGTTGTGTGCCATCAAGTCAATTCAACTTATGGCAACCCTTTCCAGTGTTTTCAAGGTAGAAAATGCACAGAAGTAGTTTACCATTGCCTTCTTCTAGGGCACCTTGAAACTATGCACCTTGCCTATGAGTACACGGATTGAGTCTTATCGCAGGAGGCACAGTGGGAAATCAAACTCCCAGTCTCTGGCTCCACAGATACCACTGGGGTATCCAGCCACCTAGAAGATTGATAGGCTACCCAATTCTCAGATACACATGACAACAGTGATGATGATGGCAGCAGCATGTGAAGGATGTGTGCACTGAGTGGTCATTATCTATTTCAGATTATCCAGAGTTTACTACTAGATCTGGCATCCTTCACAGAGATCTATCTTTTGCCTATGCCAATCTATATGGACATCTCAAAGTTTCAAGGAGAAACAAAAATTACCATTGTAATAGCTCTGGAGCTTTAAACAGCCAGTGACAGCCAGGGCGGATTTTCATTTACATTTACAAAAGAACTACAGTTCCAGTTTAATAGCACGTTCCAATTGGTTATGTCAACCTCCTGCTATGAGGTCCGGGTGCTAGATTTCTTTGAAAATCTACTGGTTCTGTAAAGCCATGCATAAGACTGGTGAAAAACTATGGCCTAGAAGGAACTCCATCTATTTAACAAAGGTTGCTCCAGACAGGTTCCTCTTAGACTGTTCGTGTGATTCCCTTGTTACTGATCCTTTATGCTTATTGACTAGAACCAGTTTATTGTGCTATAGTGTATATCGTCCTCAATGTGAATGCCTTTTTGTTTATAATATATACACAGGGAAGTAATAGATGCAGAGAGATTGAATGCCAAGAGGCAGGCAGTTCATTTGAAAGACACATCTAGAGTGTGCAAGTGAAGCAAAAGCCGTTTATAACGTCTTCAGAACTTCAAGCCTGAATTATAGTTTTAGTAATCAGTAGCTACCCGTCTCCTCTGTCATTTTTTGGTTAATATATTGCTTGGAAGAGACTTACAGCACAAGTTTTATAAGCCTGCAATAAAAATATAACAACTGTTGTATTAAATTATTTAAGTTGTAAACCATTGTAAAAAGGATAGAAAGTTTTATCGACATGGAGGCAGAAAAAATTATTATGATAGAGTGTAAAATGTATTGTTGCTGATTACTAGAGAGTTTTTGCCTGGTTTAGCATATTGTAAATCTTTAGCCTGCCTTCAGAATAAAACACTTTATGAGAGGGGTTCCTTTAAATAAAATACCGGTCACTGGTTAAAGATGAAACCACAATAGGATTTATAATTTGCAAACAAATCTCCAGAATTTGACTGGCGAACAGAAACTATCTTGGAGACCAAGAGGAAGGCAAATACTGAAAGTGTGAGGGATCAATGGATTTAAAACTTCCAGATTTCCCTGGAGAGAAATGGAGTATAGGAAAATAAATAACAGAGCACTATATTTTCAAGAAAAAGTTTACTGCTTTAATATTTTACTTTACAGTTCATAGTAGAAGGAGAAAGCAATAATTTGAAATCAAGATGCAGAGCTGTGGATTGTCTAAAAATATAACATTTACCTATATTAGTTGTTAAAACTTTAAATAAACCATTACAAAGATTAGTTTATTCTCCATAATATATCAGCTTAATCATCTATATTATTATAGCGAAATGATTTTCCTTCCTATATTTTCTTCTCTACCTCCAGAGCAGAATACCAAAGGCATATTTTCTGCTGGAAATGTTTTTATTGGTTAACTCTGGTAAATTCTTCAAAAATACTTAGTCTTTTTATAAGAGATATTACGTTTTTTGATTGCACTGTACACATTATCTCAGTAGTCTTTACAACACCCAGTACATAAGGCAGGGTTATTATCCATAAATTAAATAGTAAGGAGGAACACAGGAGAAATGACATCTGCCAAGGATTTAGGGATGTGTATTTTGGATTTCTTGGACTACAAACTCCGTAATTCTCCATTCTGGGAGTTCCACCTGCCAGGCCCAGATACTATAGTCACCTAAGTTGTGTTTGAGAGAAGTCCCAGTTGCCAGGCTTCGTGGCTTGCATAGGCCTAACTTGCTATTTGGAAAGGAGCTGCCACAATTGGTGTTTTTTTCAAATAGAAAGATAGGTGCATCCAAGGCTTGAAGACTGCTAGTTAGGCCTCCTATTCAGGTGAGCACAGTTTATGTGTCTGTAAGGTCTGGGATTCTCAGAATGGAGAATTATGGGATTTGTAATCCAAAAAATAGGAAATGTGCATCCCTCCTGTTTTATACTATTTAGTAATAGCATAGTTTAATTCATGCGTGCCAGGATGTACATCCAAGTTAGGTTTAAGCAAGTAGTGTGTTTTGGATTGCAGCAAGAGTCTGTAGTCTTAGGCTATAACCATCTAACATACAAGTGGAACATTTATTGCCTTACAGTTGTTGTTTAACTCAGTGTCACCAGTGGTTAGGGATAATGAGAGATAATAAAGGACCACAGATTCTCCATCCCTCTTACTCATAGTTAACCTAGAAATAGATTCCATTTAATATGTCATTTTTATTTTTAATATATTACTGTTGTTTTTATTGTTAATAACTATATTTTTATGCATTAGATGATTTATTATAATCATTGTAGGAATTGTCCTACTTTCAAACAAGAGAGGATGCAGATTCCATGATGATGGAAAGTTAAAAGTTGACATTACTGCATTTCTGACAGTTATCTAGCAAATATTTAGGTATACTGTATTCGAGTTATTCAGCTATTTTATTATGTGCCTATATTTGTCTTGGTTTTACAAGGTACCACTTTGCCATCCTGAGCACATCTTACCTTTTTGGCAGCTAGCTAGGGTTACATGGAAAACCAATATGGGAACACTAGAGATCTTCATGCCCTGGATCCTTGGAGAACTGTGACTAGTCTTAGCTGACAGTGCTGGGCTAGATGGAGCAATGATATCACTGTATGAGACAGCTCCTTACGATTCGGAGCTCTGTTTTACCCTGACAGTTAAAATAATATCTAATGTACTTTTTCAAAAGAAAACTTCAAACTACCTTTCAAAACATTCTTTTCTTTCACTGGGCCAAGGAATGCATGCTGTCACACACAAAAGGAATTTGGAGCCTCCAGTAGACTGTCTCCCTTTAATGAAGAGGGTGTGATACTTGCTGATGTAATGGTTTAGAGAGTGGACATCTTGCTTCATTTTGAAACTGACATCTCTCATTGGATGCTTTATTTCTCTTCAGTACTACTGCAGTGTTATTAAAACTGGACGATGTGGCCGTGGCTCATGGTGGTGATTTTCTATCCTTTCTGAAACAGGTACAAGAATAAATCAAAGCAGTGTTTAACTATGTCTCATAGCTTGGCCTTCCCTTTTATGGGGAAATCTTCCTTGCCAAGATAGAGGTCATCTCTCCATCACTAGCCCTTCATGTTTCTCAAAAGTGATTAGAATGTCACATCAGTTTGTACTCTCTATTTCCTTTATTTCATAAATCCAATCTTAGCTACAGCGTAACTTCTGTTTATAGCCTTTGTTGGGGATGTACTTTAAAACTTCAGAAATCAAAATGCTGGTGCCTGCAAGGAGCACAAAGTAAACTGTATGGTACAATTGTATGAGTCATTATTGATTTGTATGCATATTCTCCTTGGAAAAAAACTTGATGTTAGGAAAGTGTGACGGCAAGAGGAGAAGGGGACGACTGAAGATGAGATGGCTGGACAGTGTCCGCGAAGCAACCAACATGAATTTGATAAAACTCCGGGAGGCAGTGGAAGATAGGCGGGCCTGGCGTGCTCTGGTCCATGGGGTCACGAAGAGTCGGACACGACTAAACGAACGAACGAGCGAATGCATATTCTATCATAGCTGCCACATCTGGAAAATATGAAGACAGACCAACCTTTAAGTTTTTGCCCTAAAGATATTTATAAGTGAGATTGCTTATGATCACACTTCTAGAATGGCCCAGGATAATTCAAATGTAGGTGATGCATCACTGAAAGCATCCACACTTCCACCCATATCTTGTGAAGCAATTACTATCTTGTACTATTAACAAAGCATGATTAGATAATGAAGAGGCACAAAGCAGTGGCTTGAAGAAAATCAGTTCTAATGAGTCTGTACATACTTTCTAGCGTTGCTGCTGGGGCTGACCAAAAAGAAAAACAGCCATGACTACTGGATCAAGGGAATGTGGTGTGTGTTTTTTTTCACAATCTTTGTGCAGAGCATAGAATTGTACAATATAATACACAGTTTGCTTAGTAATTAAGTGGACAATATAGTGATTGGTAATTTGCTGTCTTATGTCCACCTGAATAAAATAGTTTATCATGCCCTTGATATAGATTAAGATTATGTTGTTTAGGGATTCCATGTGCGCGCGCATGTGTTTAAGCACCTTCTCTCATGGGAAACGGGAATGAAATTTCACTAGTTTATTTCACATAAGTCACAAGATGCTGCAGTGACGACTTCTAGTAATTGCCAGACTGGTTGTGGGATTGAACCTGTGACCTAAGAATGGTTTGCTGTGTATCCCGTAACCAATCCCCTGAGCCATCCATTACGCTTTTCCAGGCAGCTATGATTAAACTGTTCTGAGAAGTCAAACCTGGATCAATAGAAATGATCTACAATGAACTAATCATATACTTACCGTGTTCAGATGGGTATTTGGTACTTTTGTCACTGCATGTGGTTTACAATCTTGGGAAAGACTTAATTCCACAACTTTATAACTGTAATCCTGGCTTTAACTTCCCTGTAATGTATTGGCAAAATCATAGCCATGAAAATGAAATAATTGGTGAAGCCAATCACCTGTTTCGAACATCTTATGTTAATTAGTTTAACATTAATGCCTTTATTCATATTTATAACATACCTGTCCATAAACAAAGCAATGAGGGCCCTTTAACATTGCAAAACATTTGTGGCATTAGATTCTCAGTAGCTCGGCCCACCTTGCTGCTTTTCTGACCAACAAATTTCCAAAATTCACAACTAATTAATAATGGGACAGTTCCAGTAAATTGCAAAGAGAAGTGAGTTTTGTGCTTCTTATTTTCAGCAGCATCTAAAGAGCCTGTGTGTGGGGGTGATTGCCAAGTCAATGTCAGTGTAGAAGATCTACTCTGGTATATAACATTGTTCTGTTTCATTTTATTCCCTGGAGAAAGTAAAAAATATATTGTTGCGTCATTCCACCTAAGAGTCTTTCTTAGCTTTCTTAGATATGATATGGGCAAAAATTACACTGGGGGCAAGAGACTTGGCATAAATGTTGCCCTTTTTGCCCACTACTCTTTTAAACTCAAATCAAGCAATATTGTACTTCTTGTAATACAGCTTGCAATCAGGTATATCTAAGTTTTGAAACTGACGCAGAGTATGATGAAACCCAACTTATTCCTCCCTCCTGCCCCCCTCCCAACCTCTTCTCTAATCATCTCAGGATGTCAGATCAATTAACAGACACTGTTACAGCAGAATCTATGTGTGTCCACTAAAGCAGAGGTCGTCAACCCCCAGTCCTGAAACCCAACTTATTCCTCCCTCCTGCCCCCCTCCCAACCTCTTCTCTAATCATCTCAGGATGTCAGATCAATTAACAGACACTGTTACAGCAGAGTCTATGTGTGTCCACTAAAGCAGAGGTTGTCAACCCCCAGTCCGTGGCCCGGTACTAGTCTGTGGCCTGAGCCGGACCGGGCCACGGAGACAGACCTCTCCCCCCCATGCACTCCTCTCCACACAGCTGCTTTGCATGCATGCCAGCACCAGTGTGAGCGCTCCCCCATCCCTTCATGCATGCGCCTGGGCACCCACACACAAGGGCATGTGGGTGTTCCTGCGCATGCGCGAAGGGCTGGGGGAGCGCTCACGCTGGCATGCACGCATGTGCTCCCCACCACTCATGAGGCCGAGAGCACACGTGAGCACGGGGGGTGCCCCACCTTCCTTAGAGGCTCAGCTGGTCCGTGGTCCCAAAAAGGTTGGGGACCACTGCACTAAAGGACAACTTTGCTTCAGTATGTCTCATGACAGCTTCCTTGGAAAGAAAATATATATAAGTGAATTTAATATTTGTGAAAAATGCCAGATTGATGGTCTTAGAGAAAAGTCCGTGATTTACAGAAGACACAGTAAAGCTTTCCAAGCTTTGCCGACAGTTTCCAGCCCTAACCTGAAAACCTGACCTACCAGATCAGATTTTGTAGATTTGTTTCAGGTGATTTCAATACCAGCCAAAGCTTGGTTACTGTGTCCTATGGTAAGGATTTGCAATTCAGTCAAAAGAAGAGAAAGGCAGAGGGATTGCATCTCCTCAAAGCATACCAAAGATGAAACAATGTAGTATGGTTAGATTGGATGCAGGTTGACTGAAGATAAATCTGTATTGCAGCATGGCACAACTCCTTCCAGACATATGTCAACATAATGAGTCATTAGTGACAATCTGTACAAGTCAGGTCAGTGTTTAATGTGATCAAGCATGTGTGCAAATATCAGAAGTACAGGTGTCTTGCTAAATTTTGCTAAAAACTCGGTCCTAGCTCATATTTGTATAGTATTTCACAACTTTTAATTCAACTGCAATGCTTCTCCAAAATACAAATTTGATAAGGCTTACAAGAGTTTAGCCAGATATTTTCCAAAGCAAAGATTGAGCAGCTCTAGGGATCTTAAGGACCTCATTCTAATTCCAAAGGAGTTCTAGAAGTGGTCATTTCAGACCACATTAGCATGAGCTACCGGCCACTACTGTTGCCCTACCAGTGTGCTGAACAGGCAGGAAGAGGGGGGAAAGGAATTGCAAGCAAAAGGAGGAAGAAATAAAATATGAGAGGGACAAAAGGGATGGTAGAAAAAGAGAAAGGAATCAGGTCATCCATGGGCTTCGAACCCACACACTACTGTCCCCAAACTAGTTACCCATAAGAGAATATGACCCTGGATATGAAAAAAAAATCCTTTGATCCTGCTCTAAGGAGAGTCTGATGTCAGGCCACCCGAGATAGAAGTAAAAGATCAACTGCGTAAAATATTTGTAAATAGTTCCTTTGGGAGTAACAAAGGTACACTGAAGTTAAAATCCAAAAGTAATGTAACAATAGGATTTAAACTGCCTCATTGGTGTAAGTAGTGATAATTCCTAAATATTTTTAAAAGTTACATTAAAGACCTTTTTAAGCATGTTCAAACTAGATTTTTTTTCAAGTGTTATTTTTATCATTTATTTATTTATTTATTTATGTTATGTTATGTTATGTTATGTTATGTTATGTTATATTTATTTATTATATTTATACCCCTTCATGGATTGTTGCCTTGTCGTGGCGAACAGGCTTGAGGTACAGTAATTCAGAGAAGCTATTGGCTATGCCATGCAGGGACACCCAAGACAGACAGGTCATAGTGGAGAGTTCTGACTAAATGCGATCCACCTATAGCAGGAACTGGCAAGCCACTCCAGTATCTTTGCCGATAAAACTCCATGAACAGAAACAAAGGGCTAAAATATATGACGCTGGAAGATGAGCCCCTCAGGTCAGAAGGCATCCAACATGCTACTGAGGAAGAGCGCAGGGCACGTACAAGTAGCTTCAGATCTAATGAAGTGGTTGGGCCAAAGCCAAAAGGATGCCCAGTTGCAGACGTGGATGAAAGTGAAAGGAAAGTCCGATGCTGCAAAGAAAAATACTGCATAGGAACCTGGAATGTAAGATCTATGAACCTTGGTAAGCTGGATGTGGTCAAACAGGAGATGGCAAGAATAAATATTGACATCCTGGGTGTCAGTGAAGTAAAAGGGACAGGAATAGATGAATTCAATTCAGATGATTATCATATCTACTATTGTAGGCTAGAATCCCAGCAAAAACAAGAGTTGGAGCTGATTGTAGCTCTGATCATCAGCTTCATATAGCAAAACTCAAGCCGCCTAGAGTGGTCCTAACCGACTAGATAGGCGGGATATAAATCGAATAAATAAATAAATAAATAAATAATAAGCTTAAATTGATGAAAGTAGGAAAAACCACTGGGCTAGTCAGGTAAAATCTAAACCAAATCCCTTATGAAGTAGAAGTGAAGAATAGATTTAAGGAAATAGATCTGGTGGACAGAGTGCCTGAAGAACTATGGATGGAGGCTGTAATGTTATACAGGACTCAGCAAAAAAAAAAAAAAAAAAAAACCACCCCAAAAAAAAGGAAATGCAAAAAAGAAAAGGGGCTTTCCAACAAGGCCTTACAAAAAGAAGAGAAGAGAAGGGGAACAAA